ATTATTATTATTATTATTATTATTATTATTATTATTAAGATGCGCTTCTGCTGCTAATGTTGTCTGTAGAAACGTTGACGTCTTTGGACCAAAAACTCTGTTGATGAAACATATCTTATACTGAACTAATTTAGCTCTTACTGTTATCACTATTTTTATTAATTTCGTTATTATTATTATTAAATATTCATGTTTCTTTTCACTTCTAAATAACACTTAGTTTTATGATAATGAAATTATTATTATTATTATTATTATTATCATTATCATTTATTTGCTTGTTTGTTTACTTTTCTTCATTACTGTGTTTTCCCAAGAAATTTCCTGTAATTTATTTTTGACTTATAATGTGTTTGTTTAATGTTTGTATAATGTTACACGTAATTACTTTCATCTCCACTGTGCTAAGTCTGTAATTGGCCTTGCGGCTGTTGACTTGGCACATAAATAAATAATAAAGAATTAAAAAAGAATTGAATTAATAGCAGCAGCAGCAGCATGGTTTCCCGAAAGTAAAATCCACCGTCAATAATTTTGTAAGGCAAGTGTCACGTAACTTCGAACAAGGCCAAGAGTAACAACTGGCCGCCTATCACTTCTCACAGCCGCTCACAGTAGTGTCGCATTTTCTGGGAGTTACATGAATTGGTTTCACAGTTATCTCACTAAAGACAGCCGTTGTTCCGTGTTTCTCTAATTATTCCATCGCCCTCCGAAGTATTTCCCGGTGTTCCACAGGATCTGTTCCGCGGTTTCTGCTTTTCAACGTGTATATAAACGACTTTCTTTTCATTGGCGCTACAGACCTCATTTGGGCCTAGGCCTACCTCCATGAAACTCTCTGTTTCACTTCGGTTTACTAGATCTTAGACATACGGTAGGACCCTTTGGGGGGTGATCAGCTCGTCGCAAGGCCTCTACCTGTACACAAACACAGAAAAACGCACACAAACATCCATGCCCTGAGTGGCATTCGAACCCACGATCCTGGCTTTCGAGCGAGCGAAGACAGTACATGCCTTAGACCGCTCGGCTACCGTGACCGGCTATATAAACGACTTACGTGTTATAATTAAGCACTTCAGGCATCTACTCTTTGCAGACGACGTANGTTATGTTTTATACTAGTCACGGTTCTCCCAATCATTAAAATACTAATTACATTTATTGTAAATTTATATATTTTATGTTTCTTAATTCTCAATAATAACTGATTTGTGTTAAATAAATTATCATTATCACTAGTATTAAAATGATATAAATTGAATTTTATGTTTGCTGGTATGTGTCTTGTTTCTCGTCTATGTAGGAGCTCACTTTAAAGTTAGCACATAAGTAAATAAGAACTGAACTGAACTGAATTATTATTCGGGCTTTTGGCTGCTGAGTAAGCATGTGAATAGACAGAGGAATCGACTGAATTAGTATTATTATTATTAATATTATTACTATTATTGTTATTTATTTGCTTTCAGACCCTATTACAAGGTACGCTGTCAATGTACCAGGACTGAACCTCATCTGTAAGGCTTGTCACGTGGTACTCGTGGAAAACACTTTTCAGATTAAATTAATTTAGTGCCTTCGTTTCTTGCTCTCGATATTAGCTGGTCCCAAAATCGTCTTCTGCAATTCTGTGCTGAAGTTTATCCTGGTATATAGTGTTCTTCTGACATGATCTTGATAGCCTTCCTAACGCCTCCATGTTCACATTCCACATGCGCTACACCTGTTAGTAAACCCTTAAATTTTAATATGTAATTTTTATCAGCTGCTGTAGAAATGTCAAATTATTAAACATTATTTCTCTGTCCCGAATAATGTTGTCAGGTTTACTGAACTTTATGATTTGTTTTTACGCCGCATAATTCGTTGTTTCCACAGCATTGTGACTCGATTTTCCTTCCCTGTTTCAACTGGTTCTGTTATGGGCTCCTTTCCGCTTTCACTCTCACTGCAACCGTATGCAGAATCCGTTGCGACGCTAGTTGGAGCCGGACAGCCTGTCAAGTGTTCTGCCTCATAAAGTTGCTAGCACATTCTACATTCACTGTCATGTGCAGTTCTCGGTATCCTTGCAGTATAGAAACTAACATTCAGTGGTTGAGCATGCGCATCAGCTGTCTCGCTTTTCGCTTTCACTTGTCTCTTCACGTTCTTCTCTTGTAAGTCAGAGCAATGTCCTTTGTTAATCCATATTTCGAATGTGAGTCCAGGCATCGTCTTATGCTCCATTTAGCTTCTCGTTACTTCGTCAACGGCCGCGACATCAGGGTTAGATCCCGGGTCTGGTCAAGTGGGATGTGTGGTGAACAAAGTGGCACTGGGGCGGGTTTTCTTCGAGTACTTCGGTTTCCCCTGCCAATCTTCATTCCATCAAATTCTCCATCACCATAATCACCCGGGGCAGGCTACAATAGGCCAATCAGCGGCCGCCGTGCTGAGTGGACCCCCCCACTAACCAAATAAAAAAAAATTACATGCAGCCTATCTGTATCTGCTCTAGGAAGATCAAGCCAATACGTTGTTAATATTTTTATACTCTTTTTGTCTACAATTTTCTACTTACTAGAAGCCAGTTAGTAAGGAAGCTATAACAAAGGTCTGTATTGCAGACATTTGTACTGTCAATAGTTTATTTCTGGCATTCACATCAGGTTGTTAAATCTCCCAATATATCCATTTTTCAATTTCTCCTTTATCTTCTTGTGTTGAAAACTCCTTCAGTTCTCACACGCTTACATGCCGTTACTTCTTCCAATTTTATTTTCATTATTATTATTTGGGGCACGCGGTAGCGTAGTTAGTTGAGGTACTATGCTACAAGCCAAAAGGTCGAGTATTCAAGTTCAGATGATATCACTAGATTTTTCAATTTACCTAATCCTTCCAGCCGCACTATGGCCCTGGGGTCGACTCATCCTCTAACAGAAATGAGTACCAGGAATATTCCTGGGGATAAAGGGCGGCCGGTGAGTAAGTCTGACAACCTTACCGCCATATGTGAACCGATTGTTTAAAGAAAATATGAGAGTCTCGACGTCTCACAACTCTATGGGCCTTCACGGCCTATTGCAGGGATAGCTTTTGTATTATTATTATTATTATTATTATTATTTATTAGAGGTTTCTATTGAACTGCACGTGTCTGGTAGTTCTCAGGCAACAACATGTAAATAGGTGATCACAGAGAATAAAAATGAAGTGGAAATCATTGCGTAGGCTGTTGCAGTTACGAGTCAGTCCAGAAGAGGTTTTAGTTCGAGTTTCCAGAGTGATTGAAGACGAAATGGCAAGAAGACTTCATAGTGGTTTGAAGTGCTAGTTTCTGTGTGGAGATCCGTTGCCAGGAGATGGCTAGTGGATACTAAGAATCCCTCTGCTTGTGCAACGGTGGACTGGAAAGCGTGAAAATCAGCGATAGCGCCATCTGAACTAGAGCCGTTACTTCCGTGACACGTACCGCTCTACACGTGACAATAATCTCGGACTTTCTGCATGAGAGAAGATAACAAATGCATAGCGAAGTCGCAGATGATAAAGAAAATGAATGAACTAGCCAGCAATATTTTTGTAACACAAAAGCTTACTAGCTTTTAAATTAAATCTGATATGTTAGTTTCCAAATCCGGATAGAAATATTTTTCAACCACGTCACAATTTGGTTTGTTAAATTTTCAGCCCAAAACTGTGCACTTTTCACTTTTGAATTCAATTCTTTTTTTTTCTTACAATTTCTGTTGATCTAATACGAGTATGAGAACGTTATGTATATGTCACAAATGTTCATTCTCATTCAAAATCGGCGTTACTTAGAATTGTATAATATGCAAATTGGACGTTTATATGTCTCGTGTAGAAACCAAACAACAGGACAACAAAAGTAAGATTCATGTGTTACACTTTTCTGACTTACATTTTTGCCATCATCCTACTTGGTTAATCAAAAGAACAAATTATTTCACATAAGTTATTGAAATAAAGTGACATTATCTGTCCCCTGTTATTAAAGCAATATCTGTAACTACTGCCTGAATCAGCAAATTATCAATTGTTGTCACTAACAACTTACAGAAGGAACTTAACCACATTACAGACCAGTGTGACAACAAAGAGAAATTTTTTTCGTACGTGGCGACGTTGAAATCGAAAAGACAGAATATTCTATTATTAACGCTGTCCGCACCACAGTATTAATCTCGCTGACAAGTAAGTCTGCGAAGAGTGTCATTTGTGTTCTGTCAAGGTCGACTTCATTGGATGTCCTTCTTGCGTTGCTCAAGCAGTGAACATCAAGAGGTGACCTTTCAACCCAAGTTCGTGTTACGGCCTCAACTAAAGGCATAAGGTATGTCTATATTTCACAAGCGTATGCCGTTCGTCCAGAAGAATGCACTTCCTGTCTGTCAGACTGCAGGAAATATTAGAAACAAATAATCATGTACAATGAAACATGGAGCAAGCCCTTCATTCTGTTTATGCTACAGCCAGAGACAAGTAAAGGTCTCACTCCTTATTATATGGTTACTTTAAGCACATACAAAAGAATTAGAACTGCCTGTGGTCACGGTCGTCGGATTTCTAGAGGTCAGCGTTAATGGCCCGTACCCTTACATATATTTTGTAACTCACTTTGGCTAAACAATGGCGCAATGACACCCAAAGCTACAGATTTTTGTGGTTAATGCATGAACCATGCAACAAATTGATCGAGTTCAAGGATACAGTCGTTTCTACTTTGCAAACTTTCAATGCTTCGTAGAATTTTGGGTTTCAAGAAATTGTGCTATTATGTTCGGTATTTTTGTGTTAGCATGTCTGTAAATAGTGTTCCCTCAGTTCTTGACTTCAACTCTACTGACAGCAAGAGGCGAATACGGCAGGCTATAACCGCTCCCCCCGCCACAAACACACACACACACACTTTACCAATAGCAGAGTCTACTTCTGCGCCCCCACAGCACCTTGGCTCATTAAAACAAAAACTGGTCAGGTTTTCTGTGATGTAGGAACTAAATTTTGAAATATTATTGAAACGAAAGCGTTAAACGCTTATAAATCAAAATGTCGCCCAGCAACAAACTGTAGACATAATTGCAGGCTGTAACAGGAAGGTGGACGTTTGTTGTACAGAATAGTTTTTTTCTTATGTCATTTATACGAGTATATTGTAAGGACACGCCATTCTAGGCCGGACGAGCGGAACGCTGTAAATACTTAGATCATAATCTCTCGCCCTCAACAAGGAAGTACAATTAATGCTGCTGTCACCTTCCGCTTGGTTTCAGACTGTCTGTGACAATAGAACTCCATGCTGGGTCTCATGGCGGCGCAAACTGTTCAGTTGTGAGGAAGATTGGAGCTCGATAAGTACACCCAGGCTGCCGCTTTGCGTTTGTGTGAATCCCCTGCTGCAATATCTCTTGTTATAAGGTACTCATAGATGATTTCCAGTGTTCCGAGTTCTTCTCAGTCATTGCCTTCACAGACTTCATCTTCCATTGCGTTGCCAATTACTTGCAACGTACAATTTTGAAACTGTTCTGTAGTCCTAAAAGTTCGTGATAATTGTATATTAATATAGTCATTGTGTTTCTGGACATTATTCACTACCCTCTTTTTATTTAGGACACACAACGTTCCGAGACTGGATTCTGTTTACGTCTTCAGGTGGAACCAACTCATTTCGGCCCAATCAATGGAGCTAGTCCCTTTCTCCGGACATCTGCACCAACACAACATAAGGTATATCTCTTGTCATCTAGAAGAATCAAAATTATCCCAATATGCTTTTGAACAAGGTCATATGGGAGGATGGGATGAAGCTAGGATAGCAGGTATAGGAAATACAATAAATCGGCCACGTGGCATGCCTAACCAATCTGGTCAGCCAGTTCAGTCTGGTTATTTCTTTCATTTGGATCACCCTTATCAGCAATGTGGTTGCCAGCTCACACAGATCAGTATGATGTGATAAATTCATCACGGGTTTCTACAATGTTCATTTCTTACTCAATAGATGGCGCTAGCAGAAGGAATAAAATTATTTCAATACATTCTCCATTTAATTGTATGCATTGATTTTTATGGACTTCCTTTGTTGCATAAGATTTTCATCTCCCTTTCAGTTTTAGTTTCAGGCCTGTGCATGCTTTGTCACAACTTTTATTGCATAATTTCCTGTTATCCCCCCTTCACAAAGTCTGTTCTCAGTCATACATGTATCTTATTCCATATTTATTCAACATAGACCGAGGGTGTTTGAGAACAGGGTGTTCAGGAGAATATTTGGACCGAAGAGAAATGAAGTGACAAGAGGCTGGAGAATACTGCATATTGAGGAGCTTCATAACTTGTAGTCTTCTCCAAGTATGATTAGAATGATCAAATCAAGGAGGATGAGGTTGGCAGGGCATGTATCACGAATGGGGGAGAAGGGGAATGTATATAGGATATTTGTGGGAAAGCCAGAAGAAATGAGACCACTGAAAATACCAGGATGTAGGTGGGTCGATAATATTAAAATGGATATTTGAGAGATAAGATGGGATGGTGTGAATTGGATTGATCTGGCTCAGGATATGGACAAATGAATGGCTCTTGTAAACACGGTAATGAACCTTCGGGTTCCATAAAATGCTGGGAAATTCTTGAGTAGCTGCAGATTTGGCTTCTCCTCAAGAAGGGCTCAGCTCCATGAGTGAGTGGCATTTCATTCGACAAATCAGAACCTCTGCAGCTGATACAAACTATTTACTTAGCCAAATTAACGTACACACAGGGGTTCTGGAACTGCGCGAACACGGTTCCGAGATTCAGTCTGTGAACTTCCCTTACATGCTTTGTGTTCCATATTTGGTGACTTGTTCTGATAACCATAAATTGTCTGTGTTCCGGACTGACGGCTATATTAATTAACTAGTTGTATAGCCTGCCTAATTACAGCTCTCATGGATAACCATCAGCTTACGTGCCATAATTACTATATAACAACAGTCTTATAACAGTTGTTATCCAACGTTTCAGTTTCCAGGCACACCCGTCGAACTGCTGTCGTAAAAATTCTAAAGTTCGCATACCTTACCGCGCAGTGACCAATTTTAAAATATTTAAACTATTTACAATGGCATGCACTGTCTTCGCTCGCTGGGGAGCCAGGATCGTGGATTCGAATCCCACTCAGGGCATGGATGTTTGTGTGCGTTTTTCTGTGTTTGTCTACAGGTAGAGGCCTTGCGACGAGCTGATCACCAGCCCAAGGAGTTCTACCGTATGTGTAAGATAGAGAAAAACCGAAGTTAACGGAGTTCATGGAGGTAGGCCTAGGCCCACTGGGGCTGTAGTGCCAAGGAAAAAAAAAACTATTTACAATAGCGCCGATCGCACTGGCCGCATGGTCTAAGGCATGAAATATCGTCGATCGCTCGAACCTTGGGATAGTGTGTTCGAATCCCATTCAAGGAACGAGTATCTGTGTCTATTCTCTTTGTGTTAGGTAGCGGCCTTGCGACGGGCTGATCCCCTGTCCAAGGGGTCCTACCGACTGTCTTAAAGGGGCCCATACACGTACGAGTCTGGCTCGCAAGTCCGACTCGGCTCGGGTTCCTATGAGCCAAACTCGTCCGTGTGTGGGTCGCAAAGTTGGGAGTCAGCTCATGCATTTGTGGTGAAATTAATCCGAGCCCGGCTCCCGAGTTAAGCTCGCCTAGCCGGACTCGCGAGCCAGACTCGTACGTGTATGTGCCCCTTTAGATTAAGAAACTGAAGTGAGACGAAGCGTTTCACGGATGCCCTATGCTTCAAGTGAGGGCAACAGAAGAGGAGGAAGAAGAAGAGGCCGACTTACAGTAGCAGTAAAATTAAATCCTTGACCACCCAGTTTTAAAATTCATCTTTCTGAGTCATGCCATGTTTTATTCGCAAAAATTGTTCTATTTCGAATACAGGTAAATATACCGCTTCGGGCAGGGCTGTATGTCCGTATTGTTCTGTGAACATGGACGTCTTGACGATAAACCAGTCCTTTTCTAAGAAGTCACAAATTTCTGAACGACTCGTATTTTCAGAAATTAATTCTGAACCGGAGCAGCCAGAACGACTAATCCATAATATCTTAAGACATCTGACTCTGACTCTGACTTGAAGAAGAGTATCTCTAAATAAAAAATAGAAGTTTCAATAACCTCTTATAAATCAAAGTTATCTTATGAAAATTACGACAAATAACGATAGAAAGACTACCATTAGCTGATCTAATTGGCGGCAGAATAAATATTGCCTTCAACTAATTCGTGGAGCACTCTGCCGGTACATTGTGTTACTATACTCTCACTCAGCATTGCGATCCTAACGTGTATGTACGTACGTAGACACGGTTACACACATGACGTCGTAAAAACAGCGTAACTAAATTTATTCTACAAACTGTGTTTCATTTCTGACATTTAATAGTTATGATAAACTTGCAAATATGCTCGATATTTCTGACGTACGGATCCCTTTCTGATACTGAAAACACTGCTAAAATTGGAAACTGTTTGTTAATCCTATAGGTATTGCATTTTTGCATTACCATTGAATGTACTCAGTAGATATCAAATGAGAAATGTTCCATTAAATTTTCAATTCTTTCTAATCATGGACATCCAACCGAATACCTCAGATTGCAGCCTTCAGAGCTGTTACCCCATATAGGGTCACATATGCTTATGCTATCACCCTTTAGGATGAATCTGCTGCTTCTACATTATTTGTGTCTGAAGATTGAGGCAACGGGTTCCTCAGAAATATTGGTAACCATACATTCGAGACTAAACTGTCATAAACAATAAGACCACGAAATAAAATTTCGCTGCTGTGAAAACCTCAAATCTCATACAAATATCTTAAGTAGAGTTCTATGTTCTGGGATATAACGTCCAACAAGTCTTTCAAGATGGATGTGTTCCTCCGAAACGTAGGGCGATTTTAAACGGACTACGAGACGTTATGTCATAGACGATAGACATCTTAATAACCGCGTCTGTGAGAACCTCAAATCGTACAAAAGATCTTAAAGAGTTTCCCTTTCTACGGCGTCTCTTCCCCTTCTGACTCCGTGTCCATGCCCCAGGACGACAGTGTTATCGTGGATTTAATCATAGCTTGTCTGATGACTTGATTTATTAAAGGGAGGGGAGGAGTTGCAGCTTTCAGCACCGCCTACACAACATACCTTTGCCCTCATTCATATGTAAGGCAGTGCACTTTGCATACAAAGATAGATCAAGCGTCGCGCGGTGATTTGATAACAGTAATGCATAACAAATTGCGAAAGCGAACATTAAACTGCTTCACCAGCAGTGAATAACAAATGACTTACTAATCCACTTCATATAACAAAACATTCCTTGTGCACTACACAAATCATTTATGGTGCTGAGACGTTACATTTGCAATGCCAATGAGAACTTACTCGGTGTTGCCCAGTGCAGCTTGTTAAGACGGTTCCTCTCATGTTAAGCTCACTCTGCCTGCCATCAGTGCAGTGCAGCAAGGGCATGTCATCAAGAGAACAAAAAGTGAAAATTATGAAAAATGTGGAAATGTCACAGCTGTCTTCACGGTGCTGATTCGTTTCATAGCAGGAGCAGAAGAGAAGACGCGATGTAACCAGCAGTGCCTGGATTAAGGTAGCGGTAAAGCGGACAGAATGAATTATGAGACCTGAAGGCGAAGATATAAGCGAATATTACAAAATAACGAAGCGTCTGTTTTAAAGGTCAAGGTTCTTATGGACCATAGAACCAAGGAATAAGAAAATGTTAACAGAGATGGGCAACCTAACTTCAGCATTCTGCTAGCACCTCGCTCTGTAGAGAATCACAGTTACTGCATGTACTGGTGTATGGGACGCACCACGATTTCATATATATGTATATATTTATATGAATCTGATTTGCTTCATTCTGGTCCGTTACACTAACAGTGTTATAAAAGATAAAACAATTCCGTCCAGTGCGACTGGTGAAGTTTTTCTTATTTCAATTCTTAATGCCCTTACATGTTTCGGTCCTTAGAGACCATCATCAGAGGGCCATCGATACAGCTTGGAAACCGCTATTACAGTGGGTGTTCTGAATGTTAAAATATATATACATAAATTGTTTACAGTGTACAAAGAGATAAAAATACAAAGTTCTCACAACTACAGCGGCTGTCTTGATATATTATTTTTTTAAACTTTGTTACTTAAGTTAGAATTTATAAACCAAATAGGTTCGTGTCCTCTCTCTTATCACCTCTCCTGACGGGGGCTGAACTTGTGCCGCTGTCTTTCTTGAGAAGAAGGTTCTTTGATGTCGTACTGTGGTTCTCCTGAACTTTGCCAGTGCTCTTAAAAACGGCTAATAATAATAAAAAATAGTAAAAAGGTAAAGTCTCTGTGCTTAGTTAATTAAGTACGTACTAAGCCATGAAGGGATATGGAGGAGTGGATATATAGATCCAAATTCTCGGCACTAGTTGGAGGTGAGTAGTCATCTTCACGCCTCGGTCGCTTTACCCACGGGGAAAGAGCCCCGGTACCCATTGGATAGGAGGTTGGTTGAATCCCAGAGCCGATCTGGACGACGTGAAAAAGAGAGAATTCTTGACGCTACTGGGACTCGAACTCTGATCTCTCGGTCGTCCAGCGCGTAACTGTCGCTATACAGACTGCCCTATCCCGGCTCAAATAGAATTCAGATCTCATTCATATAAAATCT